ACGTTGTTAAGATGCTCAATAATTAGATTTTCTTATATTTTTTTTATAAAATAAGTTGTTCTGGTTGAGAAAATTCTTCAAATAAAATGTCCTCTGGTCCGTGAATGACTTTTAATTTGAAAAACACTCCTCTTGAATGCCTTTCTTGTTTATTGGTGTGTGTTCTTTCCTTCTGAGCTGCAAATGTTTGTGACTTGCCGAGACATTTAACTGCATGTTAGTTGATAGGATGTTGCAAAGACTGCATGCCTGAATTATTTATGTACTCCTTGCTTCTCAACTATGACGACTGTCCTGAACATTCTAATGCTTAATGCTACAAGTCAAACTTAGTGAATCATGTCATCAGATTCCTATATTGTAGGCTAATGTAAATATTTATTTATTTTTATGGATTTTCGTCTTCCAAAAGGTGTCGTATTTTGGTTAATTGTGTCTGATCCCTTTTCTTTTTAATGTTGTGGTTCATGTTCTTCATCTTGCTCAGTTTGTTCTTCGTCTTCCACTAGATAAACATTACTCCTAAAAGAAAAACTTCTTCTGAAGCAATTCTCAATCCATTAGAACAAGATTGACCATATTCAACTAGTACATAAGCTGATACACAGTAAGCATATAGGTAATTATAATATTCAATTTAATTTAGGGCTGTTGTTTTTCTCCTATTAGCAAAGAACAGCACATTCAAAAGGAATAATAGCCAAATGTGAAGATAGCATAACCAGTTAAGTTTGAACTAAAAACACATTTTTCACTGGAGTTACGTGGAGTGCAATTGGACAAATCAGACTAATAAATTTTCTGCTCTTCTGTATATCTGTAATTTGTAGACGAGGGAGATTTCACTGGAAATCATCCAAAAAGATATGGTGGAGAGACTATCAGACCCCAGAAAAGAGTTGAGTGAAGAAAAAACAATGAACTTTATCATAAGTACTCTGATCAAAGATGAACTACCAAAGAAATGATAGGAATGGAGATTTGCCTCTTTTTTTTTTTTTTATTTGCACCGGGTGTCCGAGTCTCTAAGAGCCCCGACTAATCCCGGGGGTGCACAGGCCCTCGACAAGGAGTTTCCCGCAAGTGCACCACGGTTAATTCAGGTTTTACCCAGTCCGATGGCCCTCAGAAAAAATAATCTTTATTTTTCGTATAATTTCTAGGTAAATTTGTAAGTCAAACACACGCGGATCCATATGTAGTTGTGAAAATATATGAAATTCTTCTATGAATCTGTGAAAGGTATAAAAAAGAAAGCAAAAATAAAGAAAAGAATAAGCTAGAAAAAGAGGAGGAAAAAAGAAAGAAAGTGAGCTTGAACAAATGCATCAGAGAAAAAGATAGATGGATCTTACATGGTAGTTTGGACGATTTAGCTTGTTCCAATATTTGAACACAAATGCTAGATAAAATGGTGTGTCACCAGTAGGTTTTCATACAACTCGGATCTACTGGTGATGCACCATTTTATCTAGCATTTGTAAAGTCTTTGTTTGTACTCAAGTATTTAACTCTTTTTTTTCTTCTAATTTCACATATTCTTATGCTCAATATACTATACTTTGATGAAGTATACATATCTGAGCAATATATATATAAAAGTTGGAATCAAAATTAGCTAAGATTATGTTTGTTCTTTTAGCATTGATATATATTCTCCAGGCATTGACGAGATGGTTGTAAAATGTAAGCAAAGTTTGTACGTGTTGTTCATTTCAAGGACTTTTATGAGTCTTTTATTTTCTTTCACACATGGCTGCATCAATGCCAGTTCTTGTGGAGATGGGAATCAAAGACTGCTTGGGGCTAACAAGACACTGATTCTAAGATGAAATGACTGTGTGATACATCCTATATCGAGGTTTGTTATATTTTTGATATAATGGAACACCACATAATGACATTAGAACCTCATCAAGTCATAAAATTAAAGGCCTAGATATAGTAGGCTTTTTGGCTAAATTTTGTGGTCTGCTTTTCATTAAGTTCTCTCTAGTAATTACCAGTAAACAAACTTGATTTTTGAGTTGTAAACTTGTAATGGGTGGATAACAGTTTGCCACATTGCTAACACATTAATTAGGTTCTATTTCCATTGACATGTAAGTTCTTGTTCAACTTATATATGTTGATATTCTCTCTCTAGTGTGTGCCAGTCTGCCAGAGAATAACCTCGGACCAAATGATACTTTGTATATATACTTCGTTTTCAAAAATCCTTGTTGAGATTGCAAGCACGTTACAATATTATGCTTATAAAAAAAGGTATGTACGTCACAATATTATCTGTGATTCTACGATGCAGATTACCAAATTGTTTACAGAATGGTAATGCACCAACTTTTTTTAATCTAACTTGACTTGTTGAAAGTTATTTTAGTGTTTGTTCTATCTTGACTTGTAAGTGATGTGCAATAATATTTTTTTGACAGTCTGAACTTCAGAATCATCAAAGTTCCGGAGAAACAGCAGATGATGCATTTAGGGTTGTATTTGGAAAGGAGTAGCCTGGTCGGGTTAGATGCTATGGTAGATCGGTGACGACAAGCTCTCTGAAAAAAGATGAAGAAATCACCAAGCTTAAACAAAAGCATGCCAATGAAATAACTTCTCTGAAGGAAGAAATGAAGGAAATTATGAGAGAAGAAATTCGATGTTTTTTTACTCAATTGGTGAAAAATAACCCTGGACTGGATTTTAATGATATACAAGGGTGTGTTGGATCTAATATTCCTTCGCCGGTTGATGCAAGTAGTGCACGAGCTATGAGAGGTCAAAATCTGCCACATTCTTCTGGCTCAACTCACGCCCCAAGTCTTGAAAAGGTATTTATATTTTCCAATTCCAAAAACTACCTCAATCTTAACTTACAAAATCATGCTTTCTAACCAGTGTATAGTATATATATGTTTCTTCCTAATTTTTAATTTCATTTTGAATGTGTAGGAAAATACGGGTGATGCAATTCGATATGGTGGTCACAATCAATTTGATTCATTAAAGTGAAAGGTGAAGACCTTTTGAACAATTGGGATGTTTATTGATTCTATAAATATGAATACATTTGGTTTTGTAGAGGTCTTTGCTAGTGAACTCTTTAGGGGTGTGCATTCGATTTATCGATTCGATTTTGACCCTTATCGATAATTACTTATTGATTATCGATTTGTACATATGCTTATCGTTATCGTTTCAATAAGGTTTCGATTTTTTCGATTTCGATTTATCGGTTTTGGGGGCTTATCAATTCGGTTATCGATTACACCAATAAGAAAATTTGCGGGATTCCACGGAAAGTATATCGCTATAAACGTGCCTAACTAATATGGACAAAAAGAAGCTAAAATAAGACGAACACCATTTATAATATAAAAATTGTGTCAACAAGCACATGCAACAAAACTAAAGTAAGGGATCAAATGTATGCCACCAACACTCCAACGGTATAAAACAAAACAAAACACATCATCGCGGCTAATTCTATTTTCCATTAATTTGAACTTCATTCCCTTGATCTTTAAATATGATCATTCCTTAAATGTGGTAGAGGAAATAATAGGGTAAGGGACTTAGGGTAAAGGAAAGGGTATAGATTAGGGAAAATAATATTGTATAGCCGCTTTCAAAATAGTAGCGGAATATATATACATTCTGTATGTTATATTAATCTACACAAATAGGTAATTACTCATTTAACAAGTGTCTACAGTCTAGGGGTGTGCATTCGATTTATCGATTCGATTTTGACCCTTATCGATAATTACTTATCGATTATCGATTTGAACATACGCTTATCGTTATTGTTTCAATAAGGTTTCGATTTTTTCGATTTCGATTTCGATAACAAATAATCGATTCGATTTATCGATAAACCGATTCGAATGCACACCCCTAGAACTCTTGAACCAACAGTGCTTTATTACTATAGACAGTACACAAAGTATGCTTCTTTGTTGAAATTTATTTTAAGTATATGCATTTGAATTATTTTTATTCTATTACTTATTATCTAATTTAATGCTTGATATATATATATATATATATATATATATATATATATATGTGTGTGTGTGTGTGTGTGTGTGTGTGTGTGTGTGTGTGTGTGTGTGTGTGTGAGAGAGAGAGAGAGAGAACAGAATTTGATGCAAACAAATATAGTTTTTTAACCACAAAATTGTGGCTAATATAAGTATTTGAAAAATAACTTTGTAGTGTAGACAAAATCGCCACGCTTAAAAAGTGTGGCCATAGGGATTGTCAATCTGGCATTGTTAATGATAAATATTGCTCTAGAAGCCACACTTTGTAAGCGTAGCCTATAACGTGACAAAGATCACGCTTCATAAGTGTAGCCTTATGTCATAAAAGCGTGGCTATAAGAGAAAATATAAGTGTGGCCTTTGTACCGTATCAGCCACACTTTCAAAGCGTGGCTTCTAAGGCAACACCTACAAAGCGTGGCCAATAGTCAAAGGTTACGGTACTTTAGGCCACCCCCCAAAAAGCGTTGCCTAAAGTCGTAAAGTGTTGCCTTTGCCCAAATGCTACACTTCTTGGCATCTTAGACCACACTTCTCAGGGTGGTTGTAGGCCTAAAATGTTGTAGTGTCGTTGCAACGAATGCCAACGATATCTATATCTATATTATTAAAACGAGAATAGTTTGCAATGCGGTTAAGCCTAGTGGCGCATTAAAAATAAGACACGTGGCAAATTAACACAAAATAAATACTCCCTCCCGTCCACAATAATTGATTTTTTAGCTTTTTTTTTGTGGTCCAAATTAAGTGATTTTTCCAGATTTCAAGAATGAATTAATTATTCTTTTTCTACATTGCCCTTAGAGTAAATGATGTTGGAGTATGTGTTAGGAGTGTTTATATGAAGAAATAGTAAATGTTAATATGGTCAATTTCATTGATAATTAATGTTAAAAGGTGAGTTTCTTAATATGTGTGAAAACAACCAAAAAATCACTTAGTTTGGACCGGAGGGAGTAGTAATAATTTAGGAAAGACTTAAGATAAAGGTAAAAGGATAAGCATAAAATATAATGTATTAATTGTGTATCACATTCCTAGATTTTGGCAAATTTTTATTTTTTATTGGACAAATAAATGTAAAGCTATGGGATATTGTAGATCCTATTTAAATCACGTTTTACTACTTTGCTGCTTTAATTTTAGGAATTTAAAAGTGTACGTTATTTGTAAGAAATATATATTTGAAAGGGTAACTTTGAAAGAATTTTTTTTCTTCTTTTGAAGCCTACGGTATTTGCTTTTTACTAATTTTTTGCCACAACATTTGGTAGATCACTTTTTAGCTTTTAGCTTTCTAATGTTTAAGCAAGCAAATTTGATGGTTATTTGTGACACGGTTAGGTGACAAGCTTCATTTTTTATGATGTAGTCATTGCTCTAAAATTTTCATAATGCTTGAGGAGATTGCAACCTGGTATTTTATTATCCGTGCACAAAGATACATTGGAAAAGTCCAAAAAGAATCGTCCGAACGTGAATATCCTTTCCTTTGTGCATTCTGAAGACCTATTTAGTGTTTGAAAATCTCAAGCTTGTGTAAAGATACTAAATGGTGCATTTGTCTTACTTTAACTATGTGATATTTGGTTATATCTTTAATAGAGTTTAGTGCTTTTAAAGGTTATTCATACTTGACTTGGCCGACGGATTGGCAAAAAATATTAATAAGAAAATGACACTGTATAGTCGTTCTCAAAATAATAGCCGAAAATATATATATTTTTTGTATATATATATATACATACTGTATGTTATATACAAAAATTATACAAATTTTATATACTTTCTCGGCTGAATGTAAATTGTTTCTGGCGCAGGTTAAAAGTGAAAGAAAAAAAAACCAAATTTAAAACACAAGTTTGATAAAATATTATTCATGTCGGGCTCGTGCATCGCACGGGCAAGCCCAGCTAGTATAGATATACAGGGGAAAAATTGACTTTGTATGTACAATGTGATTTTCTTGACTTAGGTACACTTGTTATATGTAATCTTAAAGCCGACTGTGTAAATTGTATTGTTATTGTCATGTGCTCAATACAACACGAGGCTGTTTAACATATAGGAGTACTTTTATAGAAGGCATAATGGCTTCCTGGCCACTTAAATTTGTATCGGTTTGTTAAGCCGATACATGAACTTATATTTTTCTCATTTGAATACTTCAACTTGACGGAATGAATACTAATAAACATATTTGACCATTGACCAAGCATATGTGGAAGTGGCACAGCTGACATGGCTAAATTGTGTGCAAATCACGCTGCCAAGGCGCGTGAATTGTTTTATTTTTATTAAAAAAATGTTAGAAATAGAATAAAATATAAATAAGAAAGAAAAAAGAAAAAGAAAAAAAAGACCTTTCTCTCTCCCCTTCTCTTTTCCCCTCCCCTCCCACCTCTCTCTTCTTCCCAAGCGAATTCCTCCATCCTGTAAAAAAAATTTCATTTTCTATCCTACTTTCTCTCACCTTCCCTATTTCTTTTTCCCATTCTCTTCCCCATTCACTAAATGCCTCCTGCACAAGGATGGCAAGCACAAATCTAAAAATAGTCCAAATTGTTATGCGTTGATTTACTGGAAAAAGAAATGGAAATTGAAATTTTAGATAATCTTATGTTGTTTTCGTGAATTTCGGAAGCATCAGCTTGTCTCAAACTTCCAACAACTGCCTAGGTCAATACGAAATAAAACAAGAAATCTACCAACATATCACAACAAATGAACAAACCAGAAGAGAGAAATAGAGCTCGAAAAGAGCAGATTGCTTAACACAGGCTATATATACAGGCCACAGTTCAAGGCAAATAAACTTTTTGAACCTGCCCCCATACACAAAACGCCGGACAAAATTGTCAAACTCACATGAATTCTTGCAAATTTGTCCAACTTGGCTTTTTGGATATTTAGGTTGGTGGAACAACAATAGATTTTACTGGGAAAAGGTGGGTGAAGGGGGGAGGGTGTGATTCGGTGGTTGGTGATTATGATTTGAATATGAAGCTTTCATATAGGAGGAAGAAGATGATGGTGGTTGAAAATGGCGGAGGTTTGGAGTTGTTGGTGGACTATTGGCTCTGTATGGTGGAGAAAAAAGAGAAAGAAAAAGAAATTAAATTTTTTTTTTTAATAATATAAGACCCAGAAATCTACATGTCATATAATAAAGACCAAACATGTGACATGGCATTCATGTCAGAGTCATTGGCGAACACGTACAACAGAAAGTGTTTATTAGTATTCATTCTGTCAAGTTGAAGTGTTCAAATGAGAAAAATATAAGTTTATATATCGACTTTACAAACCGTTACAAGTATAAGTGGCCAGGAAGCCATTACGCCTTTATAGAATGGAAGCAATTTTCGTGAAGCGATCGTGATTGCTCTCTTCAGCATGAACTCGGAATAGAGTTTTTGAGTTCATATGAGTGTGGTTGATTTTATATTATAACACATGTTAAATATTATTATTTTCTTTTGACATATGTACAATTAGGTTAATACAAAAGCATAAATGGATTCAGTTGAATCCACAAAAGCCGGCCTACATTCGCATCCTCATTTTTTTTGGTTGGGCCAGAAATGAGGAGAAGTGCACAGTTAGCCACTAATTAGAGCTGTATTTACTCTTAAGCCACTTGTAGACAATAAATTTGCGTCGAGAAAATAAGATCAAGACCGAAAATATCGCAACAATCGTAGTATTTTATTTCGAGTATTTGAGTGTTACAATCTCTATGAATCCTCTGATTCTTCTTTTCAACAGTAAATAAATTCAAGGGCCTTTGAGCTTGATCTTGAATATGTAGTTGTTTCCACGAACGATGATCTTCTTCTTGAGCTTTAGCTTGATTGCTTGAACTTGACCTTGATTTGTTCTTCGTTCTTGAGCTTGAACTTGATTTCTTGAACTTGAACTTGATTGCTTGAAGCTTGAAACTTGTAGAGAAATTTGCAGCGTTTGATCCACGAGCTCTCTCTTGCTTCTTGTTATAACTTCTGGTGTCTTTTCTGGGTTATGAAGACCCCTATTTATAGTTGTGGAAGGGAGAAGTCATGATAAGAACAAACTCTTTCCGACCAATTAAATTGAAGCG